GAAGGAAAAAAGAAGAATACTTTAAAGCAGTTTCACCAACCTGTTGTCTTCCAGATGTTTTGGACTATAACTTTCATCAGCTCCAGTCACTTTAAATTGCACGTGGGGAAAATGTGTGCTAGCATGTTTAAAGCACTGGTGACAAAAGCAAATGTATTTATAACAAGAAACACAAGGCATGTTTACTTCCACTCATGTATGCTTATACGGAGAAATCTGATCCAGATTGCATTAAAGGAGAATTTACCACATCTGCACCTTTCGAAACAATCCATGAATCGAAACATAGCTATTCTTCAAAATTCACACTTCTCCAAATTCTGGTAATACAGTTCTCCAGCCAAGTAATATGCATAAAGATGCATATACTGTATTAGAGAAGAAAATAAGACGCAGAAATGCATTATATTGGGGGGATGGCTTTGCAAAAACGTGCATACTGGCAGGAATTTACCCACAAAAATTTGTATTTCAAGAGAAATTTGTACTAAAATGCTAATGAATCTTCATGAGGAATTTAAAAATGACAACAGCAAGCTGACGTGGAAATGTGGAGAACTGGTGATTGGAAAAACGAGAAACCGAAACTTTTTGCACTAGTGCAAGTATTAGTGTTAGCACAAGAGAACTTCCCCTTCTCCTCCCCCTGCACTTTTCCCAAAACTGTCTCAGAGGGTTGGTGAAACCCATAGAACAGATTTTAGGGGCATGTGGAGAGGAGAGGGGGAAGAATGTTCCTTTGCTCAAGGAGAACGTTCAGCTTAGCTGCACAATGAATACAACCCCTGTATATTGTTTTCAGACACACCATGTTTCTCATTTGACAGTCAGTCTTTCCTACATTTTGAACATTGTCTGCAACAGGTAACCAGGTTAAATGTGCTCAATTATATACAGACTTCTGCTTTGATAAGGTCAACTGATGTCTCTCTGCACGTTGTTTATGCTGTGCGGTTTGTTAGGATAGATTCCAAGCTGATTCTGCAGGCAAAGAAGCTCAAAGAGTTGCTGACATACACCCATTATTATGTTTGAGAAATGTAAGTGGATATCTGCCAGAGGGCAGAGAGGCTATAATTGACATTGCCGGTGGACATTGGAGACTAAGACTAAGTTAATTTTGTCAATGGTTAAAATAAATATTTGCAAAGCCTTAATGCAAAAAGACTGTGCTATTCAGATCACGTACATACTACAAATTGCCACCCTGGTTGCTAAAAATGTAATCTGTTTATTACTTTGCCATTTCATATCCATTAAGCATGCTTCTTGAATACTGCTTCACATATAACGTTTAAACAAACTGTTACTATGGTGATTTATCTATTTATTTTATTTATTTAAAAAACACACCATAAAATATGCATGTTTCCATGGAGCGCACTTTGGTTATGCATGTTTCCATGGAGTGCACTTTGGTTTCTGTTGGCAGAGGCAATCCCAATCCACTGCTATACAGTGGTACCTGGGGTTACAGACGCTTCAGGTTACAGACTCCTCTAACCCAGAAACAGTACCTTGGGTTAAGAACTTTGCTTCAGGATGAGAACAGAAATCGCGCGGCAGCGGCAGGCCCCATTAGCTAAAGTGGCACCTCAGGTTAAGAACAGTTTCAGGCTCAGAACGGCCCTCCAGAATGAACTAAGTTCTTAACCCGAGGTACCACTGTACTTGTATGTAGCAGAAAGCAAAAGTGTTTAGTGTACTTGGAAACACTCTGGAGATGGGTGTCCCAGTTTCAGGATAGTAGAGTTTGCCCTTCCACTCATAAAGTGTTTATATTAGGAGAAAGTCATACTATGCTGATGAGTTTTTATGAGGTTTTTTTTAACTGGCAAACTGATGTGGAAATGTGGAGAACTGAACTGATCAACCAGTTAGTTCACTTTTTGTTGTTCATTCTTGGCCTACTACATGATGTACACATTTCTATGAAGCCTTATTGTTTCACATTGTTGTACACCACCTTGACACATTTTTTTTGAAAAGCAGTATAGAAAAATTTAAATAAAACAAAAACAAGTAAGGGTGGAAAAAAGAAACAAGAAACAGAAGCTGAAATGGACACAGTCACCCATTCCATCATTGGACTCTGTTGGTTGCTTTGCATATAGAAAAATAGGTTAAAGACAGATATTCAAGCAAACAAAATAAATAAATACCATATTGTCACTCTTTTACCTGTGTCTTTTTTCTCCCGCCATGCTGATTCTATCAAATAATGGCAAGTTCTGCAAAATATGCTTCAGAATAAGGCATGTAATATTTGCATGCAGAATGTGACATTTCTTGGAACAAAGTCAAGGAAAGTAAGTAACAGTCCATGCCATTGCCATCTCTGGCAAATGGTTGCCAGGTTTTTCCCCCTGCATGTAGGTTGTAAATATATACTGTGATCAGTGGAGCATACTGGACTTTTGAAAATCATTCGGAGATTAAAGTACTGTGAATAATATTGCCTGCAAGATGACACACAGCAGCTTGACAACTTTGTATTTATGAGGCAAATGGAAAGCTTGTTAGGAAATGTTAGAAGCAGCAGTGCAAACTTTCTGTTCTGCCTTGTGCACTCTGGACAGCTAACAAATCAGTTAACAAGCAAAGTGAATATGCTAGTAACTTCCTCTCTGAATAGATCGGGCCCCATAATTATTGCAAGACATCAGTCATTTGTGTTGCTCCAGAGAACACATGCCGGGTGAATTGTTCCAGCAATTGTTAATTTCCTTTCCACTTCACAGATAAATATACCACTTGACACATTGTCCTTGGTGATGTATAATGGCAAATCTGCCTCTGACCCTAAAGCCTCACTTAGTTTTCTTGTTTGTTCCCGAACAGATACTGCAAGCGGTTCATTCTGCTTATTAACAAGGTGCCAGGGCAGTCAAGAAATCTTTTTGATAGTTAACTGTTTCTTCTTCCGGAGAGCCAGTGCTTTCAAACGGAGTAAGGAGTGGCAAACTGCATATTATACTAAAATGTAATGATGTGTAATGATGTTCTTAAAATAAATAAATAAATAAATACATACATACATACATACATAAATAAATTAAAGCCTTGGAAAGCTGAGAGAGGAAGGGGTGCTCAATTTGCTCCATCCTAATAGTTTTTACATGCAATCACTACCCCCCTTCTTTGCAGGATTTCAGATGCATACTTTGTAAATAATGCATTTGGAAATCTGCAAGGTGAGGGAGAAAGAAGCTGATTGCAATTTTGATCAGAAAAATTATCACTGGAAATAAAGCTAAAGCATCTCAGTTCCACACGCACCCACCCACACCCTGCAGTCCTAAGATATCCTACTGCCTGAGTTGAAGGCTAACATGGCGCTGCAGCTCTACAGATGAAGCCAACTGAACTGGCTGTTTGATCTTACTTTCAGGATAGCTTCTTCCACCTCACCAGAGGTCTGCCAGTTTGTTTAGGACAAAGGAGAGGAAACTTTTTCAACATGAGGACTGCATTTTATTGTGGGAAACCTTCGGTGGTGGTGGTGGGGGACACAAACATGGCAGTGGTGAGTGGGACCAAAGGCAAAAGTAGATGGAGCAATGATGAAAAATGTTACCTCTGTACACACAATGGTGCAGAGGTGCTGGGCTCCGCCCAACTTTGGAGGGGCCCGACACACGTGTGTGCCATCACACACATGAGGTGCATGTCTGACATCACGCATCGGGAGGAGGCCATGAGGCCTGCTGCAGGCCGCAGATTATTGAGAAGGCCTGGGTGGCTTCTTGAAACTTGGGGGGCCCTTGGCCCCTCCTAGATGTCACCCCTGCAATGGTGTATATACACACACTCACACGTTCCTCTCTAGTCCTCATTCAGGCAAGCAAGAGGCATTAGCAGAATTCAAGAAGAAGAAGAAGAAGGGTTTGGATTTGATATCCCGCCTTTCACTCCCCTTCAGGAGTCTCAAGGAGGCTGACATTCTCCTTTCCCTTCCTCCCCCACAACAAACACTCTGTGAGGTGAGTGGGGCTGAGAGACTTCAAAGAAGTGTGCCTGGCCCAAGGTCACCCAGCAGCTGCATGTGGAGGAGCGGAGACGCGAACCCGGTTCCCCAGATCACGAGACTACCGCTCTTAACCACTAGACCACACTGGCTCTCAAGGGCACTTTCAAGGCAGGTAAAGACATTCCGGGAAAGTCTGAAGCAGGGTATGGCTGGGAAGAGAGTGTAGTCTGGAGGATGTCCCAATGGCCTGAGAGAGAGACCTGGATGGCCACATCAAGCCGCCCTGGGCCTGAGGTTCCCCATCCCTGGTTTAAGGGGCACAGGACTGTCTGCATGGCACACACAATTCTGTCTGTGCACTTATAATATTAATAGTAGCAGTAATTTTATAATTTGTACCCCACCCATCTGCCTGGGTTTCCCCAGCCACTCTGGGTGGTTTCCAGCATATACAGAAACATAATAAAACATCAGACCCCAACTGCTGTTTCCTGCCCCTTCATCATCTGCCTAATGGTAGGGCTGGTTCTGGGCATGTTTGCACACCTACCCCTCTGTTCAAAATTAAAAGCTTCCAAGTCTGCTTCACATTTTAAAATGCTAAGGCTGCATAATGGTCATATGACATTTTCCCTTTGAATAACAGATCTTTCCAGAGGTCCATGAACATTCAAAACTCAGTTGTGAGTTCCCTCTCCCTCTCCCTGCCACATTTTGTTAAGCCTATTATGTTGTCCCTTAAACATTCCTAGTAATGGCTGCTTCATATTTTTGAACTGAATGAGCAGATACTTGAATCAATGGGAGTGCAGGCAGCTGTGGGCAGCAAGCAAGCTGCTGGAAGGAGGTTTCATACACTTCCATCTTAAGGAGGGTTTTGATTACTGCCTGGAAGACACTCTGCATTTACATTAAGATAATGCCAAAGGAAGGACATCGAATGATCCACCTCTCCTTAAGAAAGCTACTTTCCTATCCAATTCTAGCAGCAAAAACTACCTAACCTCAGAGAGGAACGTCACAATAAGACTTCACCGTGAAATTTCATACAGTGCTCTTTATTCAGATGGATATTAACTTCAGATACAGGCGTCAAATACAAGATCTGTAAAGCAGAAAGGTCAGCAAGAAAAGGAATCATCATTAACATTTCAGTAGGTGATGCAGTACACACCTTTCGACCTCATAACTATTGGTCCAGGTGGGATTCTCTGAGATAGGCATGGCCAAACTTGGCCCTCCAGCTGATTTGGGACTACAACTCCCATCATCCCTAGCTAACAGGACACGTGGTCAGGGATGATGGGAATTGTAGTCCCAAAACAGCTGGAGGGCCAAATTTGGCCATGCCTGCGTGAGACCAAAGTGCATAATGACAAAACAAAATAAAACTACAGTGGTGCCTCGCAAGACGAAATTAATCCGTTCCGCGAGAGTCTTCGTCTAGCGGTTTTTTCGTCTTGCGAAGCAACCCTATTAGCGGCTTAACGGATTAGCGCTGTTAGCGGTTTAGCGGCTATTAAAGGCTTAAAGGCTTAGCGGATTAGCTGCTAAAAGGCTATTAAAGGCTTAGCAGATTAGATAAAGGGGGCGAAAAGCGAAAAAAAAATCTCAAGACTTGCAAGACATTTTCGTCTTGCGAAGCAAGCCCATAGGGAAATTCATCCTGCGAAGCAACTCAAAAACGGAAAACCCTTTCGTCTAGCGGGTTTTCCGTCTTGCGAGGCATTCGTCTTGCGGGGCACCACTGTACTAGTCTTGTGCCAAACCAGACACGGGGGCGGGGGAGGTTATATGTGTCTGCCCCATTTACATATAAAATGTGGGATGGGGGCTGACAAGAGTCTACCATGAGGCAGAGTGAGGAGTCTGTGCTGACTGGGGGTGTCATTAAATGGGAGTAGATATTTATCATCTCATATTTTTACTGCTGGGGGTGAGGAGAGACATTTGTGGATTTTTTTTTGCCACATATACCAAAATAGTACGGATGGCCTTAGGTACAACATGACGGGATGGAATGAGGCATGGAGAGCCTTTCATACTCTGTCTTAGATCAGTCTTGCTTACTTCACTTTAGTGGACCAGTCCTGCTTACTTTCCTACTAAACGGAGCGCATAGAACTCTTCTCCTCCTATATGTTGCAATACAATACAGTCATACCTCGGGTTGAAGTAGCTTCAGGATAAGTATTTTCGGGTTGCGCGCTGCGGTGACCCGGAAGTAATGGAGCGTTTTACTTCCGGGTTTTGCCGCTCGCGCATTTGCTGATGGTCAAAATGACGTCACGCGCATGCGCAGAAGCGGCGAATCACGACTCGCGCAGACGTGGGTTGCGTTCGCTTCTGGATGCGAACGGGGCTCTGGAACGGATCCCGTTCGCATCCAGAGGTACCACTGTAATTCGGTCTGCCAGTCACTTTTCCACGTTCCTGCTTCTCATATTGGGGGAAATAAGGTATGGGGTGGGGAGGTTTTTGGGATCAGTGTGCTTTTTTATGCATCACCCCTGCGTGCAGAACAGATTCTACCCCAGCTTTCGAGATAGCCAAGAAGAGTACTTCCTTATACAGCACATAGTTAAATTGTGGAATCTGCTACCATAAGAGGTATCATTATTATTATTTATTAAATTTGTATACCCGCCCTTCAGCCATAGATCTCAGGGCGGTTCACAACATAAAATTGCAATATAAAAGACACAAAAAACAAGAACAGGAACAAACCAAAATCCCACCATGATTCAAAGGCAAAGGTAGGGATGGCCACAAACTTGAATGGCTTTGAAAGAGGATCAGATAAATTCACAGAGGCTGAGACTATTATGGGTTACTAGCCATGGCTTACTAGTTCCTTCACTGCCAGACTGTAGGGTACAGATAAATTGTTCGTAGGGGAACAGTTAGGGCTAGATTCGCCAGCTTGCAAGGAGGATGGGGGGACGGGACGGTGCACACTTGACATCATAATTTCCCGACATGGCGTGTGTGAGCACCACATCTTCCTCCCTAAGCTGGGCAGAAGCTTCCCGGGCTTTGGGAAAGAGGCACCAGGCAGGCTTTAGGAAGGTGGTGGGAGGACTCTTGGACCCTGTTGAGAGCATTGTGCCTCCCTCCCCAAGCCGGGCAGAAACTTCCCAGGCTTTGGGAAGGAAGCACCAGGGGGACATTTAGGGGACTGTATGCCACTATTGCCAGGGGACTGTATGCCACTGAATACCAGTTGGTGGAAATTGAAGGTGGGAAAGAGTGGTGTTGCACCCAGGTCCTGCTTGTGGACTTCCTATAGGCATCTGTTTGACCACTGAGGTCACACCCACACCAAACATTAGAGGAACGTCTAAAGCACAAGTCTCCCCTGAAATAATACTGGGAACTGTAGTTTTGTTGTTGTTGTTTAGTCATTTGGTCGTGTCCGACTCTTCGTGACCCCATTGACCAGAGCATGCCAGGCACCCCTGTCCTCCATCACCTCCCGCAGCTTGGTCAAACTCGTGCTGGTAGCCTCGAGAACACCGTCCAACCATCTCGTCCTCTGTCATCCCCTTCTCCTTGTGCCCTCAATCTTTCCCAATCTTTTCCAGGGAGTCTTCTCTTCTCATGAGGTGGCCAAAGTATTGGAGCCTCAGCTTCAGGATCTGTCCTTCCAGTGAGCACTCAGGGCTGGTTTCCTCCAGAATGGATAGGTTTGATCTTCTTGCAGTCCATGGGACTCTCAAGAGTCTCCTCCAGCACCATCATTCAAAAGCATCAATTATTCGGCGATCAGCCTTCTTTATGATCCCCTTCATGGATCACTGCCTTGCCGTGGCAGTGAATAACTCAGAGAAACTATGAGCTATGCTGTGCAGGACCACCCAAGATGCACAGGTCATAGTTGAGAGTTTTGACCAAACATAATCCACCTGGAGCAGGAACCGGCAAGCCACTCCAGTATCCCTGCCAAGAAAACTCCATGGAGAAAGACAACAGGGAACTGTAGTTTACCCCTCACAAAGCTATGATTCCCAGCACCTTGAACAAATGACAGTTCTCAGAATTCTTTGGGGGACGCCATGTTCATTAAATGTATGGTGTGGATGTGACTTTTGAGAATAGGATGCTGGGCGAGATGTTGGCTTAATTCAGGAGGGCTCTTCTTAAGGCATGTTAAGCTCTTCTATACAAACAGGGTGGATGTGTGAAAAGACATCGCCACCATGTCTACTGTCATCCTTAGTAGCAAAAAATGCTCTGCAGCCTATTTTCACCCCCACTGCTCAGGAATATTTAGCCCTCTTGTTTTCATTCTTGTCCTGTAATTATGGTAGCTTTTAAAAAAATCTATTAATGCTTAATTTTCACCATACAACCTGAAAGAAAACGTACCTTGGGAAATAGCGGGAACATCTGAACAGGTCTGCGCAGTACCTGCGTACTTTTTCTGGTTCTGGAACAACCGGGACAGGGCGCTGTGCTTCTGATGGGAAAGAGCTGAAAGCTGAAACAAAGAGGAAAGGGCAGATCAACAACTTGACATGGGAATGACCTAGTTCTCCTCCCTGTCAAATATACCAGCTGCTTTGGGCAAGGCTGGGTTAACAAAGAAGCGTTCTATGCCTTAGCATACCATGGAGTAGAGAAAGAAGAAATACTGTAATGCTAAACAGTGTATGCCGTACACATGAGTGAGTGAGAGGGATTGTTTTGTTTGTGCATCTGTGAAAGCTTTTCATGACAAAGGTGGGAATGAAAAGCAGTGAAATTAATTTTGCAATGAATGAAGAAACACAAGAGAGCTGGTGGGTTGTAGTGATTAGAGGGTTAGAGGCTAGGAGCCAGGAGAAGCTTCCAGATTGTCACTGTTTTGTGGGTGGGATACAATTATATACCGGTCATTTCCGGTGGATTTTGCACTCTTGCACCCATCCCCACAACGCCAAACTTTGTTCAGGAAGGGGAAGTGATAGGAAAATATGTGCTAGAAAGTATAGGATACAAAAACGCTTGATGTGGTGCACAACTTTTGTGCAAACAAATCAGAATGAATACTCAGTAAATAGCACACATTGCATAACCTCTGTACACACTCTGAAAACAAATCAGGACGAATACTCGCTAGACAAGCCTCCTGGAAGAGTCGCAGTGTTCAAATCTCCACTCAGCCATGAAGTCCCCTTGGTAGCTTTGGACTAATTACTATTTCTCAATCTAACCTGTCTCAAAGGGTTGTTTGGAGGATAAAACCTGGGAGAATGTATGTATGCCTCCCTGATCTAAATATACTAAACAAGTCCCGCAAACTCTCTGATATGAAAGAGAGTGTCACCTTGACCAGGAGGCAGGGGTGGGGAAGATATTCAGTTCAATTTGCATTTATAGGCATCTTTAAAGAAAAACCTACCTAATTTGCATGTTCCAAACACTATGCAAACCAGATTTCATTGGAAATCTGCACGTCTCTGAATTTTGCATTGCACCCCTCTAGCCAGGTGTGCAAAAACGCACATCCTAAGGTGAAGTGTGCACAAAATGCACATTTCAGTGGAAATTACGAATCTACATTCTATTGGAGATAATGCGCTTTGCAGAAATGTGCATATTAGGAGAAATTCATACTAAATTGCTGATGGATTTTCATAAGAAAATGTTCTTTTAAAAGAAAATTTTCAAAGCAATGTGGAACTGTGGAAAACTGAATTTAAGATTGGAAAAAAGAACAGATTCGCTAGTCCCTACAAGGAAATAGGTATGTGATATCTATCTATCTATCTATTTTTCTATTCATGAATGACAAAGAGTGCTGTGCTTAACAGCAAGAAAGATGTACAGAAAGGGTACAGATACAGTTTCCTCTACAGGTATGCATATTTTATTTCTGTTATTAGTGCAGACAACAATAAGCAGCTGAATCCAGTAGCAATACAAGAAAATGCAGGCATCTTACTATTGGATGATATTATGATATTTACCTTGCCTCAGGAAGTCCACTTCTGACTTTTGTAGAGGACTGGAATCTAAGTGCTCCAAGATAGAATCTAGAGATATGCCATACTCAGTGTAAATAAAAAGGGCTATTTACTTTACTTTCAGTTATATTCTCTGTAGACAAAGGGTAGCATTTGCTACCAACTTCTTCAATAACACAGATTACTATCTGCAGATAGAGCCCAAACTATATTGCTTTCATTGGTTTTTAAAATATCTGCCACACAGGTCAGTTGATCCCTTAAGATGGCTCTCTCAAAAAATAACATTAAAATCAACAGCAGAAATATAAACAAAATGAAACAGAAGAGTATATAAACATGCACATACACAAAAATCAATCTGGTTAAGAAAAGAACAGAATGATAAAAGCCATCCCTAGGTTAAAGACCCACTCACAACACACCAGGACAACTGCCATCACTGAACGCCTTGCAGAATATGAACATCTTTATAATCATTCAATGTAGAGACTGGACAGGCATATCTGTGGTATATGGAGTTTCAGAGTTTGGGTCTCACCACTGAAAATCTGGGGCTAGGAACAGGTTCCTAGGCATCACAGCGGTAGAAAGTAAGAATTCTAGAGCAGAAGCTTTCAGAATTACCCTCAGGAAACTTTTTCTGCATATATTTTTCTGTCAAAAACCATCTGTTTGTTTGCAGCGGTTTACACAGAACATCAGCCAGGCTGGTCTGGCTTGCTATTGGCCAACTGAAATGAAAGGACCTCCTGCCTTCCTAGCACTTTCCCTACAAGTATACATTGCAGGGGAAGATTGGTGATGATGGACATTGGTCAGGCTCCCTCCTCAGAGAAGCTTCTCTGCTCCTGATAAGCTTTCAATGAATTTCATGGCTTCTTGGAAACACCATTTGACAAGCCACTGACATAGAGGGAGAAAAATGAACACCAGGGAGAGACAGACCACATGCCTGTCATGTTTTATTAAGTTGTTTATGAATGCAGGCCCAGATAACAGTGAAATTCTGCATGAGTTTACTTGGAAGTAAGCAAGTCACATTAAATTGAGTGGGACTTCCTAGGTAAATGTGCACAGAACTGTAAATCGAGCCTGCAATCCTATACACATTTTCCTGGGAGTAAATCCCCACTGAACTGAGTGGGGATTTACTTCTTAGTAGATAAGAATTCAAAGAAGTTTCTCCTCCTAAGCAGAATAGTCTTACGAGCTGTGACAGAACTGGGATGGCAAATAAAGATGAAAGCATTCTGTTTATATACCTATAAACATGGTGGCTGCATTTCTTGTATACATTTGTGGGCTTTGAGTATAGTCTTGCGCCTGGTCCAGAAAGTTCCGTAGTTTTCCTGGATGTTCCTTAACCTAGAAAATGAACACTTTGATAAACACACTGTAATGGCTGCATAGGCAGGGTATATTTGCCAGTTAGGAATGGATCCTTTTGAAACAAAAGTGAAACTTGTAGAGTCATGGGGCCGGATTGGCCAATACTGCTCCCCCTCCAGGATCCAGCCTATCACATGGTCTGCTGTCCCTGCCTCTGGCATCCCTGGCCATCCACCTGGGAATGGCACATTCAAGTACACCCTGTGCAAGTAAAATCTAATGCATGGAGGCCAAAATTATGGAATCAACTTCCTTGGGGGGGAAATCCAATAATGGCTATGTGATCGTTGAATGACATGCATCAGGTTTTCTTGTTTTGGGGGTATTTTAATGCAGAGTTCCCCAAACTCGGGTCCCCAACTGTCGTTGGACTACAACTCCCATCATCCCTAGCTAGCAGGACCAGTGGTCAGGGATGATGGGAGTTGTAGTCCAAAAACAGCTGGAGACCCAAGTTTGGGAAACTGTTCTAATGCAACATTTCCGCAGGATTGGCCGGGGATTATCAAAATACATATGGTAGGGGCATATACATTCCTTCAGTGTGCCTGAAGGAAGCCTGTTTCTCTGCCACACACACTTTCACTGGTTCATTTGAAATCAACAGATATGAAGTCTACGGATAATATTGAAAAGATCCCAGTGTGCACAAAGGGCCTCACAAGGTGCTTGCAAATCATGCTCCAAGAGTCCTGGTTGTCATTTGCAGTCCATCCCAAGAAGACTTTGCATTCTTTTAAGCTGTCTCTACGACTCTGTAAAACAAGAGAGACAAGAAGCCTTCCCCAGAATTAGTGGGAAAAAAGATTATTGGAAAAAAAGTCGAATAAAGACAAATAAATTATAGAAGGGCCAAATGCAATTGCCTCAATCATCTAAAGAAATTGTGTGCAATCTGCTTCCTGTTAAGCCCTTTTGTGCAGTTTGCTGGATCTTTTAAGAATTGTTATTAGGATCAGAACTTTTATTTAGAGAAGGAAGTTTTTAGCTCTCTTGAGTGCAGAGCTAAATGAAATAATGATGAAAGTCACCGAAACCCAACGTATAAAGAAACCTTAATATATCATTATGGCTTTCGAAGCTCACCATTTCTTCTAAGCCAGTATTTCCCAAACTTGGGTCTCCTGCTGTTTTCGGACTACAATTCCCACAATCCCTGACCACTGGTCCTGCTAGCTACGGATGATGGGAGTTGTAGTCCAAAAGTAGCTGGAAACCCAAGTTTGGGAAACACTGCTCTAAACCCATCAACAAGCCCAAGTTTTAGACCCATCCCCAGTTTGGTTCTAACAATTCCGGAACGTTCTGCTCCTTATTCATTAATGAATTCATATCTGTTGATTTCAAACTGTTGTTCTGGAAAAATCAGCATCCGATTAATTTAAACGCAGTATACTGAAAAAGAAGAATGAAGTGTATATCAGCAGCTATTCTGTCTGTGCTTCCAGTTTGGTCCTTGGAGGTCTACCAGTTAATAATTTCCTCATAGGAATTCTTCACACCACCTATTTCCCAAGCTTTTAGGAATTGCTTCCTCGGGGACTGAGCTATGTCTTCAAAGCACGGTTCACTCAGTAGAGGCTGGGCCGTTAGTGTGAATAGACCACTGTAACACCAACCTCAATCTGCTTTCAGTCGCCACCTGCCTACCTTCTTTCTTAAAACCAGTTGGCTTGGGGTTAGCTTGGGCTCCAACTATAGTTGGTCTCCCTGCCTTCTACCCCACTAGTTGAAATGGGCACCAGCCACCACTGCTTACACTTGTAATATCATGAGTCCTGGAAGGTTGGTCAACATTATCGTTATCGCATTATATTCCAGACAGGGAGTAGGGGCTGAAATTAGGAGACTGTAGTTTGCTTAAGCAGCCCAAGAATGTCATGGCTAAGGTGAGATTTGAACTCAGGACTGGCAACTCCACATTCTTGGAGCCACTATACCAATCCAGCCCTCAACTGGCCTGTTCTCAACTGTATCCCCAGCTGTATTGTGTCACTGCAACAAAATATGCAGGTGCTGCCTTGTCTTCTGATCCAAAGTAATCATATTTTTAGCGCTGCATTTATTCGGAGTTTGTTATTTTATTGGTCAGCCTCAAAAACTGAACTGTTGGTATTTGTATTTTAAAGTCGCACACTATTCTGGATACTGTACTTCAATTATAAAAGCAGTGAGCAAGTGCAATAAATCATTAGAACAAATCCATGCAAAGATAAATAGGTGTGCTCTGGTGCAAAACAGAAGATTGCTCTTCTGCTGTTCAAGCAACTTTCTGTTTTTGGAACCATGAGCAGTACATCTTGCCAGGAGAGGCCCTTCTAGCCTTGGACTATAGAGCTGCACTTTTTGGCTGTGGCCATTGTCACAGGTGGAAGGGTGCCCTGAGAAGCCCCATTGGCCTCACCAGAACTGGTGCCACCATGTGGCATCTTTGGGCAGCTTCTAGAGTTCCGGCACTGTAGCAGGGCACACTGCTGATGTTTCCTAGGCCTGTGAGCTTCCATTTAAATTTCCCACAATGTCCCTCAGCCTAGAAATTTAACTGGTTGTTTCCAGCTGCCCAGCACTGATTGAAAGGTCTGTTATGGATGCCTCTTGTAGTTGCCAGGACTGCCAGGTAAATACACAACATCCCATCGGTGTAGGAAGAGGCCAACCAGAGAGAACTTGGTTGATGTCTCCCTCAGGCATAGCTGTCAAGTTACAGATTTGAAAATAAGGGACCAGCAGCCTCAAAAATAAGGGATAAGCAGCCAAAATAATGGATTTTCAGGGCACAGGTATGTTCAACTTCTGAGCCCCTCCGAGACAAAGGCAGAAAGCCCAGCCAGCAGCCACACAAAGCCTCAAGTGGTGGTTCCCACAGCGCAGCAACCCGGCAAAGGGGATGCAGCAAGGAGAACCACCGTCATCTCTCCGCTGGGAAGCGCTGAGCAAAGGTGAGTCCCCAGGCAACGCGACCGATTTGATCGGCACAAGGCATGCAAGCTCCACCCCCTAGTTGTTCTTAGGCTCCTTACTGGGTGAGCAACACAGCCAAGCAACACAGTTGGAGCCTCCCTCCTCCCTGGCCGGCAGGGAGGGAGGGAGAGGAGCTGCTTCCTTTGAAACCCAGGAAATTTAAGGGACATCATCAATAAGGGACAGCAGTGGGACACAGCACTGGGATAAGGGACTTTCCCGCCAAATAAGGGACGGTTGACAGCTATGCCCTTAGGGCGTCCTTATCAAGGCTTTGCAAAAAGGCACAATATCATTTACCTTAGCCGCAGTCAGATGTGGATCTTGGAGGTTCAGTAGCAACGTGACAATACTGTTGAGAACCTGGTCCTGCAAAGCGGCTTTTTCTTTCACGTCCAGGTTCTTAATCATGTCTTGAAACAGCCTGTTTGCCGCACAGGTTATTTTGGGTCTCCCCTGGGAATGAAAGAGAAAGGAAAAAGTTTGACTTGATAACCTTCCTGAGACACTTTGAGGCTATGTAGATAGATACTCCTGTTTACACTGCATCCAGGGCACTCTCACCACTGGTTTGGGAAGAGGTGTTTGCACAATGTTAGCCACAATCCCTATTATCTATCCTGTATCTATCCTGTTATTTCTCGTGAAATATTGCCTTTTGATGCATTTCCCTCAAATCAGCTTCAATCCGAGCTGTGAAAAAGAACAACCTGGCTTACATTTTAAGCCTTAGATACTATGGCCTGATTCCGTGCCTGGAGAATGGACTGCAGGTAATTTTCTAAGATCTGTGCACCCCACCCCAATAAATGCACCATGACCCAAATATGTTTAAGACTGCAATCCTAAGCATAATTGTTCACTGCCGGCTCCAGGGTTTTTTTGTTTTTTTGGAGGGGGCACTTGGGCAAGACATCCTCAATGGTTGCAGTCACTGCCACTTGAAAAGAGCATACAGGAGACATATCCAGGGCTTTTTTTCAGCCTGAATTCGTCAAAACTCAGTTCTGGCACTTCTCAGGTGGGCGCCATTGCCATTATAAGAGAACAAGGGAGGCGTTCATGGTGAGTTCTGGCTCCTCTTTTTCTCCCCTTACACCTGGAAAAGCCCGCCTCACATAGATGAACAATTCTTCTGAAACTTACGTCGGCCAAGAAAGGCTGAAGCTGTTTGACGATCTTCACAAATATGTTCATGTTTATATTGTTTTTGTGGAGTGTTACGATCTTGTTTGTGACCTCCATAGCTGTCAAAATCACCTTCTCATCAGTGTCGTTAAAACTTGGAAGTATACCCAGGAGCAGGTTGGAGAGCTCTTTCTTCTGAAAGGACACCGAAATCCTTTTACTGTTAGACTACAGTAGCAATTTCACATTATGTGACTGGGATCCTTAGTTTAGTCTTGCTGTTGTCCCCTGACCAGAGCTGTGCACACGTGGTACTCCCACCAGTGGAAAGGAGTGGGGGAACACTTCCCATACTCTTCCTCCCTGGAGAACTTTGTGCCCTCCCAAAAATCTGCTCTGGAGGGTTGGGGGAACCTACCAGAACAATATGAGAGGTGATTTAAGTGGGAAGGAGGGAATCAGGAGAAATAGCCTCCCCTCCATTCCACTAGTGGCATCCTCCACTGGATCTCGGTCTCATCCGTGAAGGAAAGGGACCCAAATGTTCAGAGTTGCACAAAATTGTGCCTGAGCCTGGTCAGCAATATCACTAGCTGCAGATAAGCTTCACTCCATTCCGAAAATGAAAGGCTTAAGCCTCACCTGGCAGCCATACCTACTAGCCTAGAAACTGTTCCCCCAATGCAGGGCTTTTATACATAAAACATGAACACATTCTCTGGTGTTTTAGGAGCAGAGGTGTAGCAGGGAAACTTAACAGAGCAGGGGGTGATAACATCCTCTGCCAGGGTGAGCTCAAGCTCTCTGGGTGAGGCCCTGTGAGGTAGGCTAGACCCTGTGAGGTAAGCTAGGCTCAGACGATGGTTGGCCCAAGTTCACACACTGAACGCCATGACTAGCCCCTCCACTACAGCATTTACCACCAGGAATCTCCAGTGTGACAAACCATTTTCAGACTCAGGAAACTGATGGCATTTATGTACCACAGCTGTTTCATTCATTGATGCTATTGAAACATATAATGGATGCAGACACAAGCCCAATTAAGAGGTAATAATCTCAGTCCAGCAAAACCAGATTTATTGGACTGAGAACAAGTACCGTGTTCACAACCCCCTCTCCTCCCATTTCTCATTTACTGTAATGCAAAGCATTGTTTTGGTGGTCACATGCTGCCACATAACCAGGAAACGTATCGCCCCATGACACAGATTTGAATAAAATGTACATATGCTAATTTATAACTATAGATGCACATTTAGAAATTATTACTATACACTTGCACCATTGTAAGTAAGTCTGTGCCCAGTGACCAGGGTATCTGTTGGTTTGCTGTCCTAGGTTAACTTTAAGGCCCCTATTTTCCCTTCATATTGTTATGAATTGGGAGTGGAGGAAAGACTCTCCATCATCCTAAATGGGGCACATAGATGGGACACATTTGTTGAATACTGCCCAATAGTTCTTGCCCCTGAGCACACACTCAGTTGAAAATATAATCTATTTATCCCGCTTCTGTCATAGTCTCGCCACGTTCACATCTAGCTGTGATTATTAAGTGGTGAGAAAAGGTACTCTGCACATGTCCTTATTATTCACATATTCCCATGCCTAGGCTCTGGCATCTGACACAGGTTCTGGAGCTCTGCCCCTGGATCAGTTTCTTAAGGATACTCCCCCCAACTTCTTGTTTCAGTATAGCATGTTTTGCTTCAGTACAGATCACCAGTTCAACACCTCCACCTTGTCCTTACCTAGAGTTTCCTTTAAGAAACAGCAACAACAAAAATGAAATCACTTACGTTTTGCAGGTGACGCGCCACATTGCCCATTCCATGGAGACTGAGCCAGCGGTAGGTTGGACACGAATCAGCCTGCCAGTTCTTCAACAGGCCCAGGATGTAATGTTTTTGTAGCACCGTGTAGGTGGATTCAGACGAGAGAAGCTGAACAACACAAAGCAGTAAATATGTGGCAGGAAATTCAGAGAACTTTGCCCATACGTAGCCAGCTATCGAAAGGTAATGATAGAATACTGGAGTCACTCTCAGCTGTTGCTGGTGTTTCAGTTAATGGATAAAGATTTCCCCTCAAGCCCAAATACTGTTATTTTTTTATATGAAAAAGATATTGGTAAAGTGGTAGGATTTGGTTGGAATAGTATTGTTTTGCTTTTTGTGTTGCAGTCACGGTCTGTTTCAGACATCTCTAACTTTTCTGCTGGCTACAAATTCTGTTGGCAGGATGTGTTATCTGCACTTTTTGAGTTGTTTTTCACCGCATACCTATACTTATGCAATGCACCAGAAATTATTTACATTATACTATAATAATATATAATAATAATTTATTATTTATACCCCGCCCATCTGGCTGGGTTTCCCCAGCCACTCTGGGCGGCTTCCAACAGAACACTAAAATACAACAACCTATTAAACATTAAAAGCTTCCCTAAACCGGACTGCCTTCAGATGTCTTCTAAAAGTTTGGTAGTTATTTTTCTCTTTGACATCTGGTGGGAGGGCGTTCCACAGGGGGGGTGCCACTACCGAGAAGGCCCTCTGCCTGGTTCCCTGTAACTTGGCTTCTCGTAGCGAGGGAACCGCCAGAAGGCCCTCGGCGCTGGACCTCAGAGTCCGGGCAGAACGATGGAGGTGGAGACACTCCTTCAAGTATACTGGACCGAGGCCATTTAGGGCTTTAAAGGTCAGCACCAACACTTTGAATTGTGCTCGGAAACATACTGGGAGCCAGTGTAGGTCTTTCAAGACCGGTGTTATATGGTCTCAGCGGTCACTCCCAGTCACCAGTCTAGCTGCCGCATTCTGGATTAGTTGTAGTTTCCGGGTCACCTTCAAAGGTAGAGCGCAATGCAGTAGTCCAAGTGAGAGATAACCAGAACATGTACCACTCTGGCGAGACAGCCTGCGGGCAGGTAGGGTCTCAGCCTGCATACCAGATGGAGCTGATAAACAGCTGCCCAGGACACAGAATTGACCTGTGCCTCCATGGACAGCTGTGAGTCCAGAATGACTCCCAGGCTGCACACCTGGTCCTTCAGGGGCATAATTACCCCATTCAGGACCAGGGAGTCCTCCACACCCACCTGCCTCCTGTGTCCCAAAAACAGTACTTCTGTCTTGTCAGGATTCAACCTCAATCTGTTAGCCGCCATCCATCCCCCAACCACCTCCAGACACTCACACAGTGGCAGAGAGAGAGAGAGAGAGGGGAGAAGAATGTGTACAGAAACCCTGCCATAAAGACAGGCTGGAACTGAGTGAATATACAAGGGCCCAACCTAACATTTGTTTTCCATTCCTAAGTGACTGGGGAAGGGCTTCTAGCTCAGTGACTAGAAAGCATCTGCTTTCCATGCAAAACACCCCAGATTCAATCCTGGCATCTCCAGACAAGGCTGTGAGAGATCTCCTCAAGCCATTGCCACTCAGTGTACGCCAGGGAGCCTTTTTTGTCCTGAGGGTCTCTCCAACCTCCCAAGGGCTGCATGCCAACAGTGGCCTTAGTCATATTCCTCACAACTAGGGAGATGTTTAATCTCAGGGTCGTGGGTTCAAACCCCACGTTGGGCAAAAGATTCCTGCGTTGCAGGGGGTTGGACTAGATGACCCTCGGTGGTCCCTTCCAACTCTACAATTCTATTATTCTAAGTAGCTCGTAAGCATTTATGCAAATATAAACACATGCATATATGCAAATACATTCACATATACTCTCCACAGCTTTTTCTGCTTGGCCCGCCAAAAGCTTCCAAGCAACATTGACATAGGCTGTGTAATGGAGGGGTGAAAAAATGTAAGAGCTAGGAGGTTTGTCAGTAGATATAAAGTACTGTATCTGTTGGTACAGCAATGGAATGTTTCCTCTTAACCATTGCCTGTTCCTCATGGTGTCTGAAGGCAAAAAGAAAAGGATGCAAACACAAACACATTTACAGTTTTGTGTTCTGCTAGGACCACACTTATACTCAGTGGCTATGTAATGTCATATTTCTCAAGATGCTACTCAGACAAGAAAATAGACATACTGCAGTGAAAAAGGCCATTGCCGTCAGCTTCTGTTGGTCATCCCCATGATGGAGAAGAGGAATCACCTTGGTAAATACCGCATAGTCAAGCCCATGATGATGTTTGACAAGGGCTCTGTAAGGATATAAACAATATTTTATTTTTGAATATGCAGAAGGCACACTGAAGAACACAATAATCAGCCTCAAATTCAGGTCCTCCACTACTTGCCTGGCCAGAAGGAGAACTCCTTCCAGGTAGTTCTCTGGTGAAGCCAAAAGGTCCCAGCTTCCTGTTAGACTCGTAAAACACGCCTGAGGAGCCTTCTGCCTTTTCACCAAGGCCTTTAAAGCATCCATGGCGCAGCTGAATTCAGGGAAAGAAAAAGTATATGACAGGGACAATTACCTTACTTAGAGCCCTATGGCACACACACCCCTTCATGAGTTTTGTTAGATGGCATTATTAAATCCTTTATAAATGATTGTGGTTTGGTTTACTAGGAGCTTGCATCTTGAAGGTTATGAAATGCATTATTACTGTAATTGGAACCTGAAACAAAAAGGAAGGAAGTGGTGTAGACAGCTCAGTTCATTAGAACAAGCCAAGTTTGGAAAGGAACACAGCATGCATGTTGTTTATTATTAATTATTATTTATATGATGATGATGATAATGAAATTTCTTTTTGAATTTTTTTTTAAAAAAATATTTGTGTACATTTTGGGAAGGTATGGTCCAGGGCATCATAATCCCATGAATGCTCATGGAATCTTGCTCAATGTTCCCTTTCTTTGATGAGGGCATGGAATAGTGAACTGGTCAGAGGCAGAGACAACGCGGGTGGAGTGGAAACAAAACTGGGCAAAGCAACCAACTCCTACCTCTGCATAGGAGGCAATATCCTAACCACATAAAAGCCCAGTGGGACTTTACTGATAAAGCAAAATAAATTTCCCAGTAAAGCCATTTTGGAATGGACAATCTTTTTCAGATTAGAAAGCCTTTTTCTGCTAAGACATTTTAATGAGAATAGCTCCCCTGCTGCAGTGCAGGAAAGAGTAAGACCTCCAGAGCCTTTCCTTACAAGCCAAAGAAGAGAGAATTATGTTCTTATCAGACACTGATATTTACATGGTTAGTAGTACTCCATTAGCTGCCTGTTACCTTATGTAGTTTGATGTTCTGATTATGTCCTCCTGTCCAGGTTCGGAATCTGTACAGTTCATCAAGTAGTGCAGCTGAATAACTAGGAAGATGATCACAGATACGTAATAGCTGTTCATAGGGATTTTGCACTTTTTATCCCTAAATATTATGCATAGGGCCTTTGTTGCCTGAAACAGAATAAAAGAAAAACCAGACCTTAATTCTAGGAAGTTTGGTTGTTCCCCCACAAGCAGATATCACTCGTTATGTTTGTTCTTGGATCACTGCAGTCTTACCCTAAGACTGTGAGTTAGGGTTACTTTATGAGCAGAGGTAGCACCCTCTAGATGTTGTTGGACTACAACTCCCATCATCTCACACCATTGGCCCTGATGGGACCTGGAGTCTAACAACCTCTGAGTTCTCGTTGGCCGCCCCTGTTGTATGGCTACAATGAGAGATTCTAGCAAAACCTGGGGACAAGCAACCTAGAATATTTTTCATGTCCTTTTTGTTCCCTTCCCTGTTTTGTCCCCTCTCCCCATAAAGCCCGACATCTTCTGTAACTGGTAGCCAAGCAATATTGCCAGATTGCATCTCCAAGCATAGAGATGGTTCAGTACTGGGGCATCAGAATACTATTAATTAATTAAATTTGTACATCGCCCTTCATCTGTAGATCGCAGGGCAGTTCACAACATCAAAATACAAGTTTAAAAAAACAAAATCCATAATAAAAACAAGAACCAAAACACACACACAAACCAATAGCAGCCCTCCCTCAAACACATTTAAGATGTTATAGGGTGTTAATCAGCCTGGTTGAAGAGAAACGTTTTCGCCTGATGCCTAAAGGTGTATAATGAAGGCGCCAGCTGAACCTCCGTGGGGAGAGCATTCCACAAATGGGGAGCCACTGCAGAAAATGTGAAAGCTTGAATCTGGTCATATCTTGGCCTAGTTCCACAGGTTCCAGAACATTCTATTGCTTGAAATGAATGATAAGATGGCAGCCTTCGATTGAACGTTACTTAAAAGACTGGGAATGGGAGAGAATCCGCCACAGCACAGAAGGGCAGCAGGCTAGCATGGGAGGTGAAACAGAGCAGGCCTTGTGAGATACAGAGCTCTGCCCTCCAACACTTTGTTTGCTTCTGTGCTTAGCACCTGCTTGCTGCAGGGCATGAGCTGTGCAACTTAAGCACATGTCCAACTCCTTCCAGAGTACATGGCCTGGGCTGGTTGTCTCTCTGCTTGCTTGCTTGCTCACTCAGTCAGGGCAGAGGCCTTTCCCAATGGCACTGTTGGTGATGTGCTGGGGGGAAGGCAACCAGGCAAAACAGCTAGTCAGCCAGTCCATGCCAAGAACAAGAAAGCATCCTCACCACCAGAGTGCGGGCCCCAGGAGGACTAAAAAGAAGAGAGGTGGGCTCAGAAGGTATAGCCAGGAGGGTCTGCTCCACCTGCACCCCCAGAATCAGCTGCTGAGGCAACCACCTCACTCTGCCCAATAACAGGGCCTGCCATGTTTTGTGCACCCTATATTTCAGGGTTTCCCATACTTGGGTCTTCAGGGTTTTTTTTGGACTACAACTCCCATCATCCCTAGCTAGCAGGACCAGTGGTCACGGATGATGGGAACTGTTGTCCAAAAACAGTTCCCAAACTTTGGTAACCCCTGTTCTATTGGGTGGTGGCCTCCAAGTTGTTGTGCATCTTTCTAGATCCCAGTCTATGCTCTAGCACAGCACAGCTTGTTACAATTGGAGGTAAAGGAATAGCATATTTCTCTCACGGCTAGAGGTAGAAGGGAGGAGTTGTCTGTGAACTTTCCATCTGATCCCGGGCGTTCGCCGCTAAGGCAAGGTTTCCTTTTCAGCACTTCGAGAAGCTTGGCAAGAACCTGGAGTCTTACAGGTTGTTTAGCTTGGCCCAAGGCTTCCCAGATTTGAGTAATATGCCTAAAATTAAAACAAACAAATCTATATCAGTGTCTACACACCCACCCACCCACTCACCCACCCACCCTACTGCTGATCTCAATCTCTATCACATTTCTAGTGTTGTTTAAAGTGAAGTTATATGTATATACAGTGGTACCTTGGGTTACAAACTTAATTTGTTCCAGAGGTCCGTTCTTAACCTGAAACTATTCTTAACCTGAGGCGTGCTTTCGCTAATGGAGCCTCCCACTGCCGCTGGTGCACGATTTCCGTTCTCATCCTGGGGCAAAGTTCTCAAACCGAGGTACTACTTCCAGGTTAGCAGAGTTTGTAACCCAAAGTGTTTGTAACCCGAAGCGTTTGTAACCCGAGGTACCACTGTACATGAATTAAGATGGATAAAGGAGCCCAACAGAACTGAAAGCCTGTTTGCTGCAAATAATTATTGTTTGTTTACTACTAGAGGGCTAAAGGCATTTTATAGGATTTGATATTTTCATCGGTCTAGCCAGTGTTATGAAAAAGAGGTGCCGGAACTCACCATGAACACCTCCTTCTTTCAGAATGGCAATGGAGCCCACCTGAGAGGTGCTGGAACTGAGTTCTGGTGAGCTCCAGCTAAAATAAAAAGACCTGAGTCTAGCAACAACCCCCAGAACAGACAATGTAAGAAGAGAGAGCCCTGCTGGCTATCAGGCCTATGGCCCATCTAGTTCTGCGTATTGTTCTCACAGTGGCCCACCAGATGCTTATGGGAAACCAGCAAGCATCTTTTCCTCACGTTTTAAACGGTTGGTTGTTGTTGTTTTTTGTATGATTAGGTTTTTTTTGGAAATGCATGTGCAGGTATAAACAATAAACAAATTCAAAAATGCATCTTTCATGTGGTGTGGTATAATTTCTAAATAAGAGCTATGGAGTCAGTTTTGAATGAAAAGGATGCCTGGTCCCTGTTACATGGAATTTCTTATCTTGTCCATGGATATGCAGAGAATAATTGATATGTTGCTTTTTTAGACACACTTGCCTAAAAACTGCAAAATGTCACCAGCTGGAACTGCTCTGTCCCAACGCACCACTGGAATACAGCTCCCAAGATGGCTGCTCATGAGACAAAGGTTCCTTGCCCCCCGGGTACACAATATTGAGCTAGTTGGATAAATATTCTGACTTGCTATAAGGCAGCATCTTATGATATTCCTTGGTTTACCCTTAGATTTTATCTCGTTGTTCACAGGAATAAAATGAAGTGAATGCTGTCACCTTGGAATAATTGGTGGCTATCGTCACACGCTTTAGGCGCTGTATCAGGACAGCTGCTCAGACCTTTTGCTAGCTCAGTGTAATTGAATCGCCAAGAATATTTACATTGGTTATATAAGTGACAAAGGTCACCTACAATATTCTGGTATAAGTTCTGAATATTTGAGTAGGTGGAGCGAGCGATATCGTTGCCAATTTAGCCCACAGATTTTTCCATCAGAGGCAACCAGAGGAACTCACACAGGTGAATCAATGTTATTTCCCTGTGTGGCATGGCGGTTGGAGCACAGAACCCGGGAGACCTGGGTTCAAATTCCCACTCAGCCATGAAACTCACCTGGTGGCCTTGGGCGAGTCAAAGCCTAACTTACCTCACAGGGAATCATGGATTCCTCACTCAGTTCCTCACCTGTCACAAAGCAATGAGAGTTTCAGAAGGCTTGAAACAGTTTCTTCTGTGTGTTTTTCAGCCAGGAGGCACACAGCCCCTATGGCAACTTCTCTTGCACTAGGTTCCTGGATAGCTCGCAGGTGGAAATAAATAATATCAATGATTTCTGGCACCTGGGATAAAACAAAACAAGGGTTTACATTGATGATTCTTTCACAGTTTCTGTTGCTTTTGCATTTTATTTGCTTTTACATTTTTGGTCCTCAGATATGAATGCTTGTAGCACTTCTTAGTGTCTAGGTGAGAATGGCTTGCAGTGCGACAGAAAAGATAGCAGTTTGGGTAAACGGCCGTGCTCTTGTCATAAAGAGGTTAGAATGAACTCAACAAATTGCATCACTGCACTACAATGGTTATATATGCAGCCCCTCCAACCAGTAGACCCTTGCTGTTCAGATACTGCTCTGACCTGAGAATAATTTGGATGTTTAGAACATGTCTAAACATGATTGCTACTAGGCTGACTTGCAGTGACTGAATCAGCTGAGAGTTTTTGAAACAGGCATTACAGATAGTGATTGGGTTGAATTCAGAATTGGGGGAGTGCGCACAGTAATATGAACTCTCATAGCTTAGAAAGCTGCACCGATATATATATATATGCATATGCAGCAGAGAGGGCTTGCTAGACAGAGATAAGAGAGGCCCACTATCCTTTACTAGGGATGGACAAAATGCTCTTAATGTTCATGTTCTTTGCATATGAGTAGACCGACATGTTCATTCCATTCTGTGCGGATTTGTTTGGCAAAATCCTTTAAATATTCTGCACGCTTTAAAAATGCATTTATCACCGATAAAGAACTTTCAAGGTAGCCTGAGGGCTTCCCTGAACGTCTCCTCCTCCTCTCTCTCTTTTTTCACTTCTTAAAAACATTTCTAGTTGCTCAGAGCAGTTAGAAAGTGCAGTGCTTGCCACAGCCATGGAAAACTTTTGATTAAAAAATGCATGGAAGCAGTATGGTGTTCCATCCCTGTCAGGTGATTTTTGGGAGAAAAAGATGGTTGAGCTCCGGCATCTCCTTATCTAGAAAAATAGCACAGTGTACACACATTACTATATTTGCATTCAGTCATTTTGTGCAAGTGTCAACCAACTAGATACCTGCTAGCACTTCAGAGTTTGATTTAATTTGCTGGAATCTGACCTACATATGGATGTTCGTAACAAGCAGACTGATCAGATACAGCAGCGCAGTTGCTTTGCTTCTAGAGAACTACAGATAGTTCATCCTGTCTTTGTTTTGGTATAGGAACAAAGGAAGCTGACTTATACTGAATCAGACCATTGGCTCAACAGCTCAATTTTACCTACACTGACCACTGATGGCCGTTCCAGTCTCTGCCCACTGGACAGGTATAGGCAGGGCTGAAAATAGTGTTATGAAAGGTTAATTCCTGTCATGCTCCTCAGTGTGGCAATGTCAGGATATAGCAGGCGCAATACTGATGTCATTGATCACTTAGCATGGTCACCTTGCAGCGTGAATAACCTTTAAATGACCTTTAAAGCCCTAAACGGCCTCGGTCCTGTATACCTGAAGGAGCGTCTCCACCCCCATCGTTCAGCCCGGACACTGAGGTCCAGCGCCAAGGGCCTTCTGGCGGTTACCTCAGTGCGAGAAGTGAGGTTACAGGGAACCAGACAGAGGGCCTTCTCGGTAGTGGCGCCCACCCTGTGGAACACCCTCCCTTCAGATGGGAAGGAAATAAGCAGTTATCCTATCTTTAAAAGACATCTGAAGGCAGCCCTGTTTAGGGAAGTTTTTAATATTTAATGCTGTACTGTTTTTAACATCTGATTGGCAGCCGCCCAGAGTGGCTGGGGAGACTCAGCCAGATGGGCGGGGTATAAATAATAAATTATTATTATATCATTATTATTTTCAATTCCCTCTCTATACCATCGCTCAGTACAGTATTGCAGACAATCTCAGGTTCAAACCTTGCCTTCTCCAGGGAGGGCTGGGAGCTCCCCGGTCTGAAACCCATCTGCAAGCCCTGACGAGGCGAGGAAGGAGTTTACTGAGCAAAACCCAAAGGGATTAATCAATTAGTAATAGTTATCCAGACTAGTTCATGGATGTGAGCGAGGGCAATCTGCCTGTGACATCTGTCACCCCACTGATTGCTAGAGATGATCCGGCAGATCACTAACTGGATTTTCTCTGCCTCTCATACCCAGCTGAAGTTCTCCTTGCCTCTTGCGTTTGCGTGTACGTCCTTCTAATTTTGCCACCGGTAACATTTCGCTGCCTGAGGCATGTGTGCAGTTCGCCTAACGGTTAAACCATCTCTGGAGGTACTGCTGCTCTTGTGGAGCCCCAAAAGTTCCTGGCTGTGATGCAGTTCTAAGGTCAGGAAACAGGAGTGCAAAAAGAGCCAATGAACATCCAAGAAAATGGAGCCCAGCTGAGGGGGTGAAGCTGTGGCTCTCGTTTGTCTGGAAAGACTATGTGCACATGTGGAGCAGCAAAACACCTAAAGCGCAGGTAGCAAGGGGGAGAGAACTGAGGTGGCTGTCACAACACTGCTCTTGGGAAGAAACTACCTGACAGGCTAAACCTATAACTGGGCTAGCAGATCCTTTTCCTGGATCAGAACAATGCAAGCAGGCAACCAAATAAGCTGGCATACAAACAGCTAGTTGCTTCAGTACTTTTGTCTGTCTCTAGAATTCATTGCTAGAACTCACAAGGCACAACCACCTCAATTTTCTGAAACCCATCAGCATCTCTCTCTTTTTTTACCTTTCCCCTCAGTTTGTTCCTCTCTTTTTTCAAGATTGAATTCAGCATAACTGAAGCTGCCTGGATGCTATTTTTTTCTGTGTCCCTCAGGCTAGCAATGGCTAAAAGTATCTGACCCGTCACGGTGGACTCTGCATCAGCTCCTTCAGGTATCTGAAATAAAACAGAGAAGAGTCAGTTGTGGGGGGGATACATCGGCAAAGGCGTCCATTATCCAAAAGATGAACACCCACAATAGACAAGCTAAAAGTATTGCTGAACTGGAGAAGTTTGATTTAATGGTTGGAGTGCTTGAGTCAGACTAGGGAGACCCAGAACCAACTCCCCACTCTGCCATGAAGTTCACTGGGTTGAACTTGGGCCAGTCACTATCTCTCAGCCTAACTCAGTGATCTTTCAGAGGTTTTGTGAGGATAAAAAGGGGCACAGGTACATATGCTGCCTTGAGCTCCTTGGAGGAGAGGCAAGAAAACAAACAAAATGAGCTGATTTCTAACATACACTCACATACATCCCAACATCACAATTACAGTATTCAAATGTAAAGCAGGGAGAAAAATACTCTGAAAGGTTTCCAAGATTATATGAGATGTCCAGGCAGAAAGAAGACCTAGATGTCCAGGCAGAAAGAAGACCTCTGGCCTTCCAGATGTTGCTCCCACCATCCCTGTACCCATTGGCTGCCCTGGCTGAGGCTGATGGTACTTGGTGCCCAGTAACATGTGGCGGGCCACAGGCCATCTGTCACCCAGACCAGTGTTTCCCAAACTTGGGTCTCCAGCCGCTTTTGGACTACAACTCCCATCATCCCTAGCTAGCAGGACCAGTGGTCAGGGATTATGGGAATTGTAGTCCGAAAACAGCTGGAGTTTGGGAAACACTGGCCTAGACCATCAAGGCAAGCGTGTGGAAACAGAGGTCTTCTCCCATAACAAGAGGGAGATGTAAAGATATAACTTCTAAATTTGCAAATGAGCGAGCCTTTTCACAAAAGTGGTGTAAAGTGGCTCTGGTTTGTAATACAAATGTGTATAAAACTCACACTGGCACAATGCTCATTCACTTTACAAATGTCTGCACTAGATGGTGTGTCATCAATATCATGTGAGGAAAGCACCTGGGTGTTTTAATCTCATGTGTAAAAAAGTTTATGGCATGGAAAGAGCGAGAGTTTGGAGGCTGCAGGAGGAAGTGTAAAAAGGGAAGCCTCTTCACCCCTGAGGAGGATGCAAAAATGTGAACATAGACGGGATGGTCTGACAGAGTTAGGTGCACTGAAGATAAAATATGCCATAAAGGCTACAAACCTATAACTGCTTACCTGAGAGTAAGTCTCACTGAACTCCATTGCACCTACATCAGAGTAAACAGACATAGAATTGTGCTTTAAGGGGGTCTGTGTTGTATTGTTGTGGCCAATGATGTGTGAAGACTTGGTGCAAAAGGAGAAGATGATAGCTTGGAAAGAGAAATCCACAGAGTGATTGTACCTGATTAAGGTTTTCGTTTTCCGGCGGCGGCGAGATAACATGATGACCTTTCTTCTCTTTTTCCTTCACGAGAAAGTCCCCAGGCTCTGACACTGGCTTGGCAGCAGAGACTTTCTCTCGAATTTGTGTTTCTGTTTTCAGCACACAGTATTTTTTCTTGCTCGGCACAAACATCTGGGCTGTATATGGATTTGTTGCCTTTTCCTGGGTCATACCATCTCTTGGGCTATCAAAGTTGGTTTGTGTAGCCTTATCTTCACAGGTAAAGTCTGGTTCGCTGGCATATGCCGTGCTCATCCCAACATGTGGGCCATAGGTCTTTTTAATCTTTTCTTTTACAACCATGGTTGATCTAGAAGAAAACACACACACACACACACAAAAAAACTTTTGTCACAGTGTAACTTTATACATATCTTAAATTCTCCCAGGGAAGCATGTATGAGATTGCAGCCTTATTCTTTTTTTTTATTAAAGGTCTTCAACCGAATATACCATAAAATCCAAACTAATAAAAAGAATAATAAAAAACAATATATCAAACAGGGGAAAAAACAAAGAGAAAAAGATACATTGATAATAATCCTCATATGATCCTCATAAAATAAAAAATTATAAATATATCTGTGTAGCCCTCAGTCACCATTTTACCTTAATCTTCACACATAGAGTTTAATCCTCCCACCTCCCACCTGGGAGAGCTTCCCCTTCCTTGCCTCCCACCCTGAGAAAAACCACTCTGACCTGCCTCTCATAGAGGCCCCTTCCTCTTCTCTCTGTCAGCTCCCTGTATGTATCTTGATTTATCACAAATATAATTCTTTAGCTGTCAAGACATACATCTAGTTAATATTACCAGAGAGCAACCAAAAATCAAAGATCACACAGGAAATCCAGACCAAAAGAAAAAGAAAAACTTGGTTTATGGGGTTGTTGCTGTTTTCAGTATGAGAGACACAAGTTTGCTACAGTGTCTGGAGTTGAATGCACGCCATACACCTGAAGAACCATTCCTCACCCTCCAAGAATCTTGGGAACTATAGTTTGCTAAGGGTGTTAGGAATTGTAGCGCTCTCTCGGTGTAGGGTAAACTACAGTTCCCACAAATTGTGGGGATGGGGACATGCTTTAAATGTATGGTTTGTATGCAGTCCTCTCAATATGCACTATAGGAGTGATAATTAAATAGTTGAAATATAAAGCAGATTTCATTTCTTCCTGGGTTTTATTTCATAGTGCTTTTGAAATCTCAAATTGAGACAAGGTGAAGTTTATTCTAAGTGCACCCAGGTATGTTTTAAAGAATCATTTCCCACCAGGATATAATTGAAGAGTCACTTCCAATTGTCACGAATTTTCAGTTACCTACAGAATCCATTGGGATTTATCCTGCGTACAAAGAAACAAATCCCAACACACACAAAATACTCTTAATACTTAGCCATCAAACTAAACACAATGAAAACCCATGCTGAGATTCAGAATGGCAAAAGCCAAGAAAGACTACTGGAATGTTTTGACAGCCAAAATCTCTGGAAGGACTGAAGGCCATTCAGAACAATTTTTTTAAAATGCTGGTTGCAGAAGACAAATACGAGTGGCTATGTCTGGCACCAGCAAGTCTCTGGTGAGTTAATGGAGGCACAGAGAAGCAACAGACCACGTGGAGCCATCTACTTACAACCTGCATGGTTGGAACCAGTCATATATTTCCCGTTCTGCTGCAGCAGTTTCTGCCTCACTGGAATGTAGCAATGAAAGGATCAGTGCTCACCAGGGCCCGGGTCACAATGGATCTTATCGCGTCAGAGCTTTTGTGGCTACCACGGTAACAACATCACCAAGGGCGCCCAGTGTTCCAGTGGTTGTCAAGGGTATCGCCAGGGCTACCAACTCAGGCAGTTTTGTTTTGTTTTCCTTTTTCAGATGCAGGAACTCAAGAGTCCAAGTATTTTTGTTATTATTATTGCTTTTCTATCCCACCTTTTCTCCAAAGAGCTCAAAGTGGCGTATACAGTTCTCTCCCTCATTTAGTCCCACAACAACCCTGTGAGGTAATTTAGGCTGAGAGACTAACCTAAGGACACCCAGCAAGCTTCATGGCTGACTGGGAATTTGACTCCTGGTCTCCTAGGTCCTAATCCAACACTCTTAACTACTATGCCACACTAGCAGGACTAGAATTATTGTTCTGAATTCCTTTTTTCATTGCAGAGAAGAAACTCGAATGGTATTGGCAATGGTTCACCCAGTGATGGGTGGGGTCAAAAACACACATGTGTGCACATAGAGAGACACATCACAGAAACAGCGACCTTTGGTGTGGCCCTGGCCATCGCAATGCTCTTCTTCTTTCTACACTTGATCAGATTGCCACCACATCCCAAAAAGCATCTCATCTCTGCACAGAGGCCACAGAGGAAGGATATGCATCTCCTCCTTTTGATCTGCAAGTGGTTTCCAGGGCTGCTAAATGGAAAGGAGCCAGCTGACACCTGAACTTTGTGGCACCCCTTCTTTGAATGTATCTGATGCATGAGACAGTGCTGCTAACCACAGTCTTGAATTCCTGTCAACTTCCATCAGCAAAACAAAATAAACGAAATTGCACATTTCTGCCAACACCGATCAAGAGCTTCTGAGCAGCACTTCCCTGTCAGCCTTCATAAATACCAGAAAGGACATTCCTACTTGATTTCCTAACAAGAGATGAGGCAGCAACATATTATTAACATGTCAATTGTGATATAAGCCCTGGTATGATTCCTTCCTCTCTTACAAAGCTCTGTGTTAGGTACAAAACATTATATTGTTTCATTATTTACTGTGTCCTATCTACTTATACTTGGTACTGCAGAATTGGGAATGAGAAGAAACACTATTAAAACAGGTTCATTCTGATGATTATTAGTTTTATGCGGTCCTTCACTAGAATTGGTTCTAGTTAGTTTGCACAACTGTTGATTGCATTCATTTTTTAATTGTTTAAATTCCTGGTTCTGATTGTGCATGCTTTTGTGCTACTGCTTTACTGGTGTGGATCACTGACAGGTCACAAGTTGTTGTCACCGCCTATTCCAATATTCATTTATATAAACATATATTGGCATAGCTGTTTATTCTAAACATCTTTCAGTACTCTTCATACTCAGTGGTTAATGTGCATATGTACAAATGTAAAGTATAAATGTGATACAGGAACACCATCAGGGAGTGGTGAGTCATTGAACTTTCTTGCTACGTGTAGGTTCAGGGGCAAACCTCACTTGACTCTGTATAAAATGGGCACAATGGCCCCGTCTCACAATCTGATGAAAGGTCAGTTCTGGGGAATGAAGTTTTCATTTGCCTGTACTTAGACAACAGCATTCAAGAGCAGCCTTAGCATTTGTGGAGGTCAAGCCAAAGGAGAGGGAGTCTTCCTGGAAAACATTTTGATCTGCCACATCCCCTATTAGCTGTGCTGGGATGGTGGTGGAATCATCTGAAGTTCCATGTTGCTAGGCAAGAGACATAAACCAAAACTGGGGGGGGGGGCAGGGCTGTTGGAATCCATAAGTATGAACAACTCTGACAGATAGTCATTGAGATGTTTGGAACTTCTGTATCTTGGCAAAATTGCTTTAAATAATTACCTGAGCTGGGGCAGGGGTCCAGAGAACACACATGGCATGACTGTCCTTAGTTGATCTCTAGTTAATCACAACTGGATCCCTTGAAGACGACCTTTGGAGAATACAGTCTTGTAAGTTGCATCCTTTGTGAGGATATCTACCTATGAGAGTATGGCGTTGATGGATGGGCCAGACAGATGATCCAACTGGAACTTAGAACAACATAGCTTGTAGTTTTCAGGGTGTGAGGCAAAATCCCCACTCCCTGAAATCCCCCCCAAGACTATTCATTAGATTTACACTGTTTCTTTATACAATATTGTGTCCTCAATATTTCTGTCACCTGCCATAACTCTGGATACCTCTGCAATAATTAGCTGTCTTACAAGGCAAGTAACAAGACAAATACATGATCATCAAGCACTTTATGTTTTCTCTAGAGAAATCCCTGCTGCTACCTATCAGCGTTAGAAGTTGCATGTCAGCTACACATCTATAGCTGATTTTTGAGGACGATCCTTTAAGGCAGCTGGAGAAAAAAGTTTAGAACACTCTTTTTTTGCCATTCATTGATCTTTTATTTCTTCTTGTGTTTCTGGTTGTTCTGTCTTTCTTCTTTACTTATTCTAGGGGGATTGTTCTGAATACAAATGAGCTCGTATTCGGTGCACTCGAGAGGTAATTAATACTAACAGCAAACGCCCAATTTACACTGCATCTGATGTGTCCCAGTCTTGAGATTCCAAAAGGAGATCTGTTTATCATGCTGTGGGACCCCACAAACAACATGTCAGTTTACGGCATAGTTTTAGCTTTGCTTTGTTCATTTCTGAAACATTTGTGGAACACAACTCTGCAGATTTACTCCCAGCAAATCAGCATGTGACAATGGCAGAACTGCTGGTGGATCAGGCCAGTGGTCCATCTAGCCCCACATCCTGTTCTTACAGTGGCCAACCAGATGTCCATGGGAAGCCTTCAAGCAGGACCTGAGCACAGGAGCATGCTCGCCCTACCCAGCGGTTTTCAGCAGCAGGCATACAGAAGCATACCATCTCCATTGGTGAAGGCAGAACAGTAGCATCCCGGTTTCTGATTTGATCCTGGAGTGTCTCGCTTTTCCTTAGGACATCCCTATTTGCATCGGACAAATGTTGGAGGGTATGGAGTAAAAGATATGGTTTTCCCAGTAGTGATGTATGGAAGTGAAAGCTGGACCATAAAGAAGGCTGATCGCTGAAGAATTGATGCTTTTGAATTATGGTGCTGGAGGAGACTCTTGAGAGTCCCATGGACTGCAAGAAGATCAAACCTCTCCATTCTTAATGAAATCAGCCCTGAGTGCTCACTGGAAGGACAGATCGTGAAGCTGAGGCGCCAATACTTTGGCCACCTCATGAGAAGAGAAGACTCCCTGGAAAAGACCCTGATGTTGGGAAAGATGGAGGGCACAAGGAGAAGGGGACGACAGAGGACGAGATGGTTGGACAGTGTTCTCGAAGCTACCATCATGACTTTGACCAAACTGCGGGAGGCAGTGGAAGACAGGAGTGCCTGGCGTGCTCTGGTCCATGGGGTCACGAAGGGTCGGACACGTCTAAACGACTAAACAACAACAACATGGAGTTAAGTGACTCCCAAGCCAAGCCACCTTTAGAAGACATCTGAAGGCAGCCCTGTACACAGAAGCTTTTTAATGTTTAATGTTTCATTATGTTTTTTATATATGTTGGAAGCCGCCCAGAGTGGCTGGGGCAATGCAGTCAGATGGATGGGATATTATTATTATTATTATTAAACAGGATGTCCCTATTTACATTGTAGAAATGTTGACGGGTATGAGGTCCTCTATTAATTATGCTAGTATTCAGGTAGGTTCATGCTGAAGGAGATGATCCCTCAGATTTCCAAGTGTCCGTCAATGTTAATTCATAACAACAGAGCTTGAGTTTGTGTGAAAGAGGGAGGATAATATGAGTAACGTTCTTCCAATAATAATAAAAAGACACCAATAGTGGCTTGGCAGAAACAGCAGGTGGATCAGGTACAAAAAATATGCAAAACAGTGTAAGGCAGGTTCCCCACCACCACCACCACTAGAACAGCAGCTTCACATTTTAAAACCCGGACATCATTTGGCATAGTAATGCCAGTCTTGTGGAATAGACTGTCTCTTCTTGCACCTCCTCTTTTCCTTAATTTAATCACTCTGAAGTGCAAATCCAGGCAAACGTTAATATTATCTGGCATATTATAAACTTGCATGTGCCTGGTTCCTCACCACTGAAAAGTAAAATGAGAGAAAACCGCTCTTGGAAGCGAGTGAAGACTCCAAGCTGACTCTGACAAGCTGTTACTCCAAAGGAATTTGTTTTTCTTCTTTTGGTGGGGTTTTCCCTCTTCTTCTCAAAACTAATGTAAAAACCCTACATAAGCCTCTTTTGGCAGGCACCATAATTGTGTGCCTGATCTTTGCTGCAGCACTTCGTCCTACAATTTAAATCCAACATGGAGCAGTTTCTGCTCATGTACGAGGAAACAAATGCATCTTCTGGCAGCCATTAACAGGAACAGGCAGTGCAGGGCAGTATTTATTCCTGGACGCAGACGGGCTTAAGCTGCATCTCTCTTTACAGTCACCTATTAACTGGGCCATATACTATATCAATAAACCACAATTACACTTAGGAAATTTGAAAAGTGAAGCTCAATAAAACCACACAGGCATATTAGAAATGTGTGGAACACTGACATCCATCTGGTATTTTTCAGCGATTTCTAGTCAATTACTACATTTCATCATCTGTAATCTTCTTTTATCTTTGATTCCTGCTGCTACGGTAATTCTCACTCTGCTACATCTATGGCTTTACTGTGAATTTTTATCACCTATGAGTAAGTGGATTCACATTTTTGTTTGCTAGCATCTTTTTTAAAAAAACTTGTAGAAGCTAAAAAATAAAAAAGCTTAATTGCAGAAGGAAATGAAACATATTCAAAGATGTTACGGTAAATACGTAAATCACATTGATAGCATTAAGAGAAGCAATCTAACATTGAAACAGCAATAAAATTAAACATCCAGTAAATTAGTATTAGCTAGGGAGGCAACCCCACCTTTTCTTTTTAAATAAAAAAGTCCTGTTCCCTTTTATAAGCATGTATGGAGCCAATTTAAATTTAGAAGATGCATGATAAAGCTTACATTATATAATTTTTCTGGGACAAAAAAACCACATTTTGGCAGCCATCTTATAAACACTTAACTGAGAGTAAGTTTCACTGAACTCGGTAGGGCTTACTCCTGAGTATAGGATCATGTTGTAAGAAATGTAGGCTAGGATCCAAAAAGCTATGCAGCTAGTTCCATATTCCTAAGGGATTTTGGGTATGTGTTTCTCTAGCAGCACATACCCATTTTACTGATTTTTTAATTGTTAATCACAGGATGTTTCATAGGAAGCAACTGATAAATGAAATGAGGTGTATATTGTAGGTGAAAGGTCAGAGGGAATATCTGCAATTTTGAAAAAGTGCCATGGCTGGGGAAACCCTGCCAGATGGGCAGGGTATTATCACCATCATCAACAGCAACAACAACATGGTCGCCAATGGAGTGTGCCACGTCACAAAAATGGCTGCCACATCTAACAGAGAAGAGAGAAATAGGACCACAAAATAGTGCAGTTGTGCCTCTATTGATGGGGGGAAATGCAACTACATCAGCCACTGCCATGCTCATTCACAGAGAGAAGCTGTTCAAAACAGAAGGAGGGGTGCCATGCTCAATTTGTGGAGGCTAAGCCAGTGTAAACAGAGCAGGAAGAGCAAGCAGTCTCTTGTACATTGTGCATTTTTGAGGATATATTTACTGAGAATTTTGTGGGCACCCTAGCAGGTACTGGTGGTCACAGTAGCACATGTGACCACTGCAATGGAATAAACATACGCATCACCCAAACTGTACTCCAGACGTTGTTTTGCATTTATTTAATATGCAATAAAATGGTGGGAAAGGGGGAGATAATGTGACTAGAACTTCTTCCACTGAACTGAAAGAGCAAGCTCTGCAGAAACGCTGCAGGGGTGAATTCAAGAACACATCTCACCCCATAAAAAATGTAGTGTAGACAAACCCTTGCATCTTGTTCCAACGGTTCTCATGCATAACACTGACCAAATTCTCCTGTAATGCCATGTTTTGGAACATTGCATTGGCATGAATGATGACATACGCCATTGTAAGCACCCACATGCTGGTAAGTAAAGCAATACTTTGACTGGACTTAACTGTCCAGTGGGCATTTACCTTTTACCTTACCTTGGCCTGGATGCATCATTTCTGTTGAAGCAGCTCACTCCAACTCATTTGCCCTTTCCTCCCCCTTTTCCGTCATAATGCAGCACTATTATTAATAATTCCATCTAGAGCTATCATCTGCAAGGAAAGAAAGCACAGCAAATAACTTTAATGCTTCCTTTGAATCATTCCAGGATAATAAAACAAGAAAGAGAGGCAGCACAGGGATTTCTTAATGGGGGAATTATTTTAAAGCAGCAAAATGTCTGTCATTATGATGGGCAGGGTATACATGGAGGGAGGGTCTGTAGATGAACCTCTGAGTACATGCAGTGCGACTCCCTGCATTTCTTTGTTATGTTCCAAAAGAGATTATATAAACACCGTTTAGAGAATGCAAGCATTATCTTCTTTCTGTTTGCACTGTCAGTTACAACAAATTGTTTCTTAAGGCTGAGCCTGCATACGTTGACTATAATGCCCAAGACCACCCTCTATTATGCGTAATATTCTCAGTTTGGGTTTTCATCACAGCAAGGAGACTATAGTGATGCTGTTTGCTTAGCATGTTTTCACCTCATTTGTGTACAGAATTAAGGCATCAGTCCCAATGTCTGTCAAGAGAATGCACCAAGTGGAACAGGAACATCGGAAGCTGTCAGACCTCAATACTGTCTACATTTGCAAGGCCTGAGAGTGTTATGCAGGTCCACCCCTGGTCAGCGTTCTTCTTTCAGCAGTCTCAGCTAGCTGGAGAAAAGTCATTTTGTTTTTCCTGTTGAACAATTGGATCAGAAACCCTCAACAATCTGTACCAAGAAAACACGATCTATTTTCTGACCAGTGGCTATTGGTGAACTGGTCCTGGTGGGGCTGATAGGAAGGAGGTCACAGAGACAAGTTGTTATGGTTTTCTCCCCATTCTCCCTGCTCTCAACGATACTGTGGACACTTAATCATCACACCTAACTAAACTGAAAAATGTATTACTTTGGTTCAGAAGGGGTCCCTGCGGTCACAGTTGCTTCTCTGCTGGAAGAAATGTTGTGTGGCCTCCACCACCTATTCTGGTTCTCTCCCTATCCTCCTCTTTTGCAAAGAAACAGCGGACACTTAAACATTTTTATAGGGTTGCCATATTTCAAAAAGTGTAGATACGGACACAAAATTGCATTTTGGCTAATCTACTTTATTTACATATAAACACACACGGAGCACTGCAACATGGCTCCCTCTCTCTCTAGCATCAGACAGCAAAGAGAAAGAACAAAGGACAACAGTCCCACTTCATGTAACACAGTCTCTGTAACTTCCCACTCTGTGGAGTCAAAACATACACTGTCATGTGATAGACAACAATCTCATGACTGCAATCATGGAGCAGGAATTCTAACAGGTTGCAGGCAAAGGCCATGATCACTGAGTCATTCTAAAATAAAATACAAAATGAATAAGTAGGTTCCTAATCAAATCCCAGAATAACTAAAACAATAGGAAAGGTGGCAGGCCAACAATTAAAGTGCTCAGAATGCAACTGGCACATAAATAGGCTTTAAGTTGGCACCAAAAAGACTGCAGTGGCGGTGGAACCAGTCATACATCATACCTGAGAGGAAAGGTATAATCATAATCTCATAATGATAATCAGTGTTTTTTTCTGGGGGGATGCAGGGGTACGCATACCCCTAAACATTTTGTGAATCTATGTCAGGCCTCATTGAGAGGCAGTATTTTAATATGAGTAGGAAAATGAAAGTACCCCTAAACGTTTTTTAAAGAAAAAAGCACTAATAATAATAATAATAGGAATAGGAATTAAGATAACATACCAGCTGCATCTCTTGAAGGCATAGATGTGTTGGTGTAGAGTGAGGTGTTCCTTTAGGTATTTGGATCTCAAAACATTTAGGGCTTTACAGGTAAGCACTAGGACATTTAATTTTAAGGCAATCATATTAAGGATCTGCTGCCCAGTTTGAAATGAATCACTAGTTTTTCTCTAAAATTTCTCAATCCAACAGCGCCTATCATTGGGACTGTTGAGAAAACAAAAATATTTCATTCCTTTTGTAGCCAGATCCATGTTAGGAGAACTTGCTGGAAAATTCCACCCCTGCTCCCTCATTCATTTCAACAGTGCCATTTATCATATCTGAAGTTTTAAAAGGAACATCTGTGGCATAAAATTAGCTTTCAGGCATAGTTCTTCTCGATTAAGCACTGGGTTTTCTGGGCATTCCTAGTGTTTAGGAGTTCAGATGTTCACACTGTGATATGTTCCCAACTCTAATCTTTACCCTAGCTCAATGTTCTTTTTGCTGTGCTCTTTTTTTTATTTATGATGTACAACATGTATTTAAAATAAAGGCTTGTCACTGCTGAAATAGTCTAAAGCATACCCCCTGCATTCCAACTGATCTCCAGATTACTGGCAAAATTGCTGCCTTTGTATACTTATGGGCTGATGTGATAACTGAAAATAACTTCCATTAGCACTACAGAAGCTCCAGCTGATACCAAATGAATTTCATTTGATACCAGCAGAGAAAAATATTGGCTACTGAGATATTTTCCCTTCATGGTCATTTACAGTTAGCTGGGATCCATGTACCATTCAGGAAGTCTCCAGATGTTTTCTTTTTCTTAAGATCCTGTTACCAAAGCTTCCCCACTCTCAGGTTGACTGGCAGTAATCACAAAGAGAACATTTTTATATTATGTTCTGGAGGCTCCTTGGAGGTGGACCGTGAGAGATACTTGCAGATTGTTTGGAATCCTTGCTAAATCTTTGCCTTTTTGAATTGTCTCTGTTTTGGATAAAAAGGTAAAGGGACCCCTGACCATTAGGTGCAGTCGTGACCGACTCTGGGGTTGCAGCGCTCATCTTGCTTTATTGGCCGAGGGAGCCGGCGTACAGCTTCCGGGTCATGTGGCCAGCATGACTAAGCCACTTCTGGCAAATCAGAGCAGCACACGGAAACACTGTTTACCTTCCTGCCAGAGCGGTACCTATTTATCTACTTGCACTTTGACGTGCTTTCGAACTGCTAGGTTGGCAGGAGCAGGGACCAAGCAACAGGAGCTCACCCCGTCACGGGGATTCGAACCGCCAGCCTTCTGATCGGCAAGTCCTAGGCTCTGTGGTTTAACCCACAGTGCCACCGGCCCATTATCGTTTTCTTGACTATTCTTGAAAGAGGTAATGGTGAAGACAGTACCATTTCCCTCCCACTATATAAAAGTCAAACAGGGTATTTCTGAGTGCACTAAAGCAGTGTTACCATCGTCAGCCTTAGCCCTGTCAGGCAGAATAGAATGGCACTCTGGCCCTACGCTTTGCCAAAATAAAGTCCCAGAACAATTGATTTTCATTCTGCTTCTCAGCATGGAAGTACCATCATGGCTATTCTCCTCATCCTCTGCAATTCTGCCTGATTACCAGGAGTTTAAAGAACACAAGGAGAGCCGTGCTGGACCAGTCCATCTATGTCCAACGTCTTGTTCTCACAGTGATCAATAAGATTCCTGTGGGAAACCTGCAAGTAGGATTTGAGCACAGGAGCCCTCTCCCCTTCCGGCAACTGGTATTCAGAAGTGTAGCTGTCTCCAATTGTGGAGGCAGACCATAACCATCACGGTTAGAAGCCGCTGAAAGCTTTATCCTCCATGAATTTGCCCACTAAGCTAGTGGTTATCACTAGCAGCAAGCAGTTTCCTTTATCGTTATCATTTGTATATTTGCAATGGCCTACAGCTTTGAGCAACAAACACAGAAAGGGCTGAACTCCTCAATGCCTTCTTTGCCTCAGTCTTCTCCGATAAAGAAAACAATGCCCGACCTGAGGAAACACAGCCCAGAGGAAACACAGCCCAGAATAACTAAGGAGATAGTACAAGAATACTTGGCTAGTTTAGATGTATTCAAGTCTCCAGGGCCAGATGAACTGCATCCAAGAGTATTAAAAGAACTGGCAGATGTGATCTCAGAACCACTGGCAGTCATCTTTGAGAATTCCTGGAGAACAGGCGAAGTCCCGGCAGACTGGAGGAGGGCAAATGTTGTCCCTATTTTCAAAAAGGGGAAAAGAGAGGACCCAAATAATTACCACCCAGTCAGTCTGACATCAATACCAGGGAAGATTCTGGAGCAGATCATTAAGCAAACAGTCTGTGAGCACCTAGAAAGGAATGCTGTGATCACCAATAGTCAGCATGGATTTCTGAAAAATAAGTCATGTCAGACTAACCTGATCTCGTTTTTGACAGAATTACAAGCCTGGTAGATGAAGGGAACGCAGTGGATGTAGCCTACCTTGATTTCAGCAAGGCATTTGACAAGGTGCCCCATGATATTCTTGTAAAGAAGCTGGTAAAATGCGGTCTTGACTATGCTACCACTCAGTGGATTTGTAACTGGCTGACTGACTGAACCCAAAGGGTGCTCATCAATGGTTCCTCTTCATCCTGGAGAAGAGTGACTAGTGGGGTGCCACAGGGTTCTGTCTTGGACCCGGTCTTATTCAACATCTTTATCAACGACTTGGATGATGGACTCAAGGGCATCCTGATCAAATTTGCAGATGACACCAAACTGGGAGGGGTGGCTAACACCCCAGAGGACAGGATCACACTTCAAAACGACCTTGACAGATTAGAGAACTGGGCCAAAACAAACAAGATGAATTTTAACAGGGAGAAATGTAAAGTCTTGCACTTGGGCAAAACAAAAGGAGAGGCACAAATACACGATGGGTGACACCTGGCTTGAGAGCAGTACATGTGAAAAGGATCTAGGAGTCTTGGTTGACCACAAACTTGACATGAGCCAACAGTGTGACGCGGCAGCTAAAATAGCCTATGCAATTCTGGGCTGCATCAATAGGAGTATAGCATCTAGATCAAGGGAAATATTAGTGCCACTGTATTCTGCTCTGGTCAGA